AATTCAATTACCTTTTTATGAATAATAAAATACTTGGCAGGATTTCAATTATTTTAAAAAAAATTTGAATAAAATTCTTCGCAAGAATTCAATTATTTTCAAAAATAGTAAAATTCTTCTCCAGGAATTCAACTATTGTTTAATCAAATTTTACTCAATTTTCTAGAAAAAATTGAACTATTTTTAAAAAATTCAAATAAAATTTTTCGCAAGAATTCAACTTTTTTTTAAATTATATAATAAAATTCCTTATAAGAATTTAATTATTTTTATAAAAAATAAATTTCTTTGCAGAAATTCTACTATTTTTATAAATATAATAAAATTCTTCATATGAATTAAATTATTTTTAAGTAATAAATTTTTTCGAAAAAATTCAATTATTTCGAAAAGTTCAATAAAGTTTTGCGCAAAAATTGAATAATTTTTAAAAATGTTCATGGAATTCTTAGGAGTCCAATTTTTTTGGATAGAATTTTACTCATTTTTTTAAAAAAGAATTGAATTATTTTCACAAATTTCAATAAAATTCTGCGCAAGAATTCAATTATTTTGATAAATTTCAATAAAATTCTTCGTAAGAATTGAATTATTTTCCAAGATAAGAAAATGCTTCGCGAGAATTCAATTAATTAATAATAAAATTCGTTTCAAAAATTCAATTATTTTCTTAAATAATAAAAATCTTGAGTACTTAAATTATTTTTAATAAAGCTTATCAAAAGAATTCAATTATTTTCATAAATAATCAAATTCTTCGCAAGAATTGAATTATTTCCATAAAAAATAAATTTCTTTGCAGAAATTCTATTATTTTTATAATTATAATAAAATTCTTCATATGAATTCAATTATTTTTAATACAATTTCTCAAAAAGATTCAATTATTTTGAAAATTTGCAATAAAGTTTTTCGTAAAAATTCAATTATTTCGAAAATTTCAATAAAATTCGGCACAAAAATTGAATAATTTTCAAAAATGTTAATAAAAATCTTCTCAGGAGTTCAATTATTTTCGATACGATTTTACTGATTTTTCTTGAAAGAATTGAATTTTTTAAATAATTTTAATAAAATTCTGCGCAAGAATTCAATTATTTTCGATACGATTTTGCTGATTTTTCTTGAAAGAATTGAATTTTTTTAATAATTTTAATAAAATTCTGCGCAAGAATTCAATTATTTTAAGGGGATTTGAACCTTGATGACGTCACAGTTTGTGCAAAGCATTAGTTTTAAATTTGTGACGTCATCATGGTTCAAATGCCCTTAATAAAAAATAAAATTCTTCCCAAGAATTCAATTATTTTAATGAATAATAAAATTCTTTGCAGGAATTTAATTATATTTATATAAATAATAAAATTCTTGTTAGGAATTCAATTATTTTTAAATATTTCAATAAAATTAGATGGAAAAATAATTTTTTTATACAGAAAATAATAAAATTTTTTTGTTTGCAAATTTTTCTTTTTAAAATAATTGAGATAAGAATTTGTTGAAGAAAATTCCCAAAAATAAGTTTTTGGGAATTAATTTGGAATTTTGCAAAATGAAATTAATATTAATTTTGTAAAAATTGAATCTTGCAAATAATAGACAAAGAAATTTTAAATTTTCGAAAAAATTAACTCCTTTTAATATAATTTTAAAATTTTTTTGCTTATAAATATGTCATTAAAATTTTGAATATTCAAATGAACGAAATTCATTTATTTTATTTTATTTTTAAATTTTTATTTTATTTGAATAATATTGCATCACATATTAAAAAACAATTCATAAAGTTTCAATGTTTAATTTATATTTTTAATTTCTCTTTATAATTTCTATTGCAGTCGATAATTTTTGAAAATGTTTATCTTGCCAAATTATCAGAATATTCATCTTTCAGAATATTTCAGAATTTTTAGAAAAATCCATAAATTATGATATTAAAATTTACCGAAAAAAAACAAAAGTTAAAAACATTATTTTACCCTCTGTCTCGTAAAATTAAGAAAAAAGTTAAAATTAAATTTTAAAAAAAAGAATAAAAAAGTTTCATTCACATTTTCTTCTTTTGAATATAAAACTCGATTTTATTAATTCAATGAAATTTTTAATATTTTTCTTCATTTATAGATTTAGAGATACGAAATTCTTTGAATTTTAAATGCACTGCGACTACATTGAAATTGAAACATAATATGGCAAGGATATTTTAGTTTTTTTTTATTAGCTATTAGATTAAAGAGCTTTCTTTTGCATAATAAAATTTAATGTCTTTTCCCGTACGACATGAGGTTTATGACTCTAGAATCCTTTCCGGAGAGTTTCTTGACATTTGCTAAAATTAATTTACCGATCTAAATTTTATGCTTATATCCAAGTCTCTTAGTCGCTCATAATTTACAATTGATTTCACCTGTGACGGAAAATTAAATTATTTTTGACTAAAACTAGTTAGAAGTATGGAAATATTTTTTTAATTTCATATTCTAGAAGGGGTTAATTAAAAAGAAATTTGTTTATATAATTCCTCGTCTTTTTCGATAAAATCTTCGAAAGAGGAAAATGTCAGTAAAATGGATATTATAAATCTAGTTCGGTATTTTAGTTTTCCGTGTCAATTCATGTATGAGAGTGATTTATTTTCATGTTTTAATTTGCTTCATATTTAATTTACTTATCGGAATAATAATTATTTCATTAATTTACATAATTTTTCGTGTTAATGTGAATAATTCTCTATTACTTTTAAATAAACGTTTTGAATTTTTTATTTTAGGAAAGTCTTTTTTTTTAATTCTCTTATTCTCTTTTATGTTTTCTAATAGAGAATTAAAACTTTTATTTAAATATTCATTTAAATTTTATTCTTCAATTTATCGGAGAGAAAAAAATTGTCTGCAGAAAATAATTATAATAATTATTATTTTATCATGAGAGTTTTGTCTTTGAAAAATTAGAATAATTTTAAGGTAGAATTGTATAAATATTTTATGAAATATTTTTAAAAAATTGTCTGTGAGAGAAAATTAATTTTGCAAATGTATTCCTCGTGGCATATGCAAAAAAGAAAATTTGTTCTGACAAAGAAATTTTTTTTTTAATTATTTTTTTACATTCGTTTATTATTTACGAGTGAATTAGTTACTTTTCAACGAAATAATAATATAAATAAGTAATAGCTTTTTGAGGCTATTATTTTTTTATTAGATAAATTAATTAAATGTACAAAATGGCCTCAAGTAAGTTAAAAATTGAATAAATAAATAATAATTATTCAATTAGTAATTAATAATTAAATAAAGTAATTAATAATTAAAAATAGATAATTAAAATATGAAAAAATAATTATTAATTACTATCATGAAATCAAATATTCGCAAATGGAATTTCGTTGTTGACAAAAGTGTCTTCAAAGTGCCTCCAGGTTGAAGGAGAAATTTCGCGTGCAAGTTCAACATTTAATTTCTCTTCGCTTCGTTTCAAACTCAAAAATCCCGAAGCGCACACTCGAGATTTATTACTATTGAAATCTAATTGTTAACCATAAATTTTTCCATCTATCGTCTAATTTTTATTTTTTTTTTCTTCAAAAAATGTACGAACTTAAATGTACAGAAAAAATTTACTTTTTAAAATTGGAAATTACTTTGTATTTTTGTTAATTATTTATTAATTTTATTTGTTTTATTAATTAAATTATTTTTATTTATTTATACTAATTAATAATAATAATTATTAAAAGATGTAATTTTGTTGTTGATATTCATTATTATTTATTAAATAATAATTATTATTTAATTATTTATATAACTAATTATTAATATTTCATATTTTTTATATTAATTTATTTTTATATTTTTTTTTTAACATTAATTTATGTTTATTATACAAAAAATAAAAAGAATCGAACAGTTAGTTTTCAATTCAAAAAATTGAAAAATTTATAATGAAATTCGAAACTTTTATTTGAGTAAAAAAAAAGAAAAAGTAAACAAACTAGGAAAGAAAGAATGAAGGATTTAAGTACATGAGATTAATAAAATAAAAATAGCATAACGATCGGAGAGAAAAAATTTCCATCCAATTATAAGTTTTTATAATAATATGATAAGTAGTCGAAGAAATAAAGAAGCTTTTTATCTTAAGAAAACAGACTCATGTCCGTTAATAAGCAAGCACCTCTATTTAAAATTTTCAAAAACATATTTCAGTTCAGATTTTCCGACGATTTTTCCTTCTTTCTAATTTTTAATCTCCCGCTATAATTTTTAACCTTCGAAATTTTTTCTAAAAGTATTTTTTGACTATTTTTCTATTTTTCTATTTTATTTTTTATTTTATTTTTTTCGACAAACAATTCTTGGAGTTAATATAATTTAAAAAAGCGCTAATAACAGTGAGGATTTTGTGTTACACTAATTTTTTTCTTTTTTAACTCTCGACCCCTTATTTATTGCCGGAATTTTCGCACGACCTGTCCTTCCAGATTCGCGTGGTGTACTTTCGTGAGGACGCTCATCCGGAATCGATTCTTAATCCGTTGTTATTTTTATGGCCCAGCCACCGTGCAATGAATTTTTCAAATAAAAAAAATCTCATTACATAAATTGAATCAGAGTTCGCCAAATAAAAATTCAATTCAGGGGGGAAAATAAATTTTTTGTAAATTTTTCTCTCAATAATAAAAATATATTCCTTCTCAAAGAGAATTTATTAATTTGAAAATAATTTTTTCCAATAAATTTCATTTATTGAAGTAAAAAAAATGTAAAAAAAGAAGTAAAAAGATTGTGCAGCAATAAAAATGATTTTACATGAATAACTCACTCAGTGTTATATAATAATTATTTAATATAGTTTTTTCTTGTTGATTTTACAGTTTTGTATAATTACTTTCAAATAATGAATTTACAAATTAGAGCAATAATATCAAGGACGTTTAGTGATCTATATAAAGTTGTCTCAGGAAATGATTAATTAAAATTTTTCTTTCTTTTTTCCAACAGGTTTCCACGTGAACAGCAAACCTTACCAAATCACTTTTACTTCACCGACTTTGAGCGACATACAGCCGAGATTGCTGCCTTCCATCTGGACCGGTGAGACTACTCTGAAATTTCCAATTAAAAATTAATTTAATTATCAAATTTTAAATTCCATCTTGTTTGTAAATTTCAAATTCTCCTTCTTTCCTTTTCTTTATAAACAATCCAAAAATTTCCCTATTAAGAAAAAAATTTCTTTTACAAAGTATTTTTACTGTAAAATATTTGTATTGTAGAATATTTATTTACAAATTATTTTTACTGTAAAATATTTGTCTAAAATATTTTGTTTTTTTTAATAAATTAAATTTTTAATTCATTAATTTTAAAGTACAAAAATATTTGTACTGTAAAATATTTGTATTATCAAATTATTTATTTACAAACTATTTTTACTATAAAATGTTTATATTGTAAAATATTTTTTTAATAAAATATTTGTAGTATGAAATATTTTACTGTAAAATATTTATAGTATAAAATATTTTTACTGTAAAATATCTGTAGTATAAAATAGTTTTACTGTAAAATATTTATTTACAAAATATTTTAACTGTAAAATATTTGTAGTATAATATATTTTAACTGTAAAATATTTGTAGTATAAAATATTTTTACTGTAAAATATTTGTAGTACCTATAAAATATTTTTACTGTAAAATATTTATTTACAAAATATTTGGAGTGTAAAATATTGATTTAAAAAATATTTTGACTGTAAATTATTTATTTACAAAATATTTTTACTGTAAAATATTTATTTACAAAATATTTTTACTGTAAAATATGTATTTTACAAAAATATACTTGTATTGTAAAATTGTTAGTTAATAAAATATTTGTTTTAAAATAAAATTAAATGAAAAAAAAATGAAATTAATAAAATAAAATGAAATTAATGAAATCAAATTAATGACACTAAATAAAAAAATTTTGTGCGATTAAAAAATATTCACGGTATTTTGTTACAGACTTTTGGGATTTCGCCGTGCGATGCCAGTGACGGGGAGGAGATTAAATATGACAACGGAGATTTATCAAATTACGACTGGAGATATTTTGAAAACATTTTTCGTGAGTCCAGCGGGCAATCTTTGTCTGCATGGTCGGTGTACTTACTATTGCGATACCTCTCATGCAGTTTGTGGAAATCCGGATTTGCTTGAGGGCAGCTTCGCCGCTTTTTTACCCGACAAAGAAGTGGCGAGCAGAAAAGTCTGGCGACATCCGTGGAGGAGAAGTTATCATAAACGCAAGAAAGCACAATGGGAGAATGGTAAAAATTTCTTAAAAAAAAAAAACAAAAAAAAATCCTTTCTTTATATTATTTAAACTGATTTCTTTTCATAATTTTTTTATACTTTCGAGTTTTATTCAAAATTTTGCACAATTTTTTTCTTTGTGGAAAAATATTTGAATTAGTTTTCTATTTTTTGTTTTTAACTTCTTCTTTTTTTTCTTTTCCAAGTTTTTCTATTTTTTACTTGCAGATGAATCAAAATTTTATTTCTTGTGAATGATAATAATTCAAAAGTTAAACTACAGCAAAAGAACTCAATCTTTTTCAAAATTTTACAATTTTGAAACAGATTGAGTTCTTTTGCTTTGGTTTAGCTTTCGAATTAGTTTTTTTATTTATTTTACTAGTAAATAAAAAAAAAGAGGAGGAAGAAATTTTAGAAAAATGTTATTTAAATTTAGTTATTAATATCGAGGTAGTCTTTTTTTTGCAATTAAGATAAGAAATTTATTACTTATAAAAATAATTGATTTCTTGGGAAAATTTAAATTTTTTTATAGAAATAATTGGATTCTTGCCAAGAATTTTATTTATTATGAAAATAATTCTAAATAAATAATTAAATTCCTCTCAAGGATTTTGTTAAAATTTATGAAAATAATTAATTTCTTTCGAGGAATTTACTAAAAACTTGTATTAAAAATAATTCAATTCTTAGAAGAAATTTTATTGAAAATCTTAAAAGTAATTGAATTTTTTTCAGAAGATTTTTTTAAATTTTCATATAAATAATTCAATTCCTATGAAGAATTTTATTATTTATAAAAATAATTCATTTCCTCCGAAGAATTTTGTTATTTATAAGAATAATTGATTTTCTACGAAGAATATTTAATTTTTTTATAGAAATAATTGAATTCATGCCAAGAATTTAATTCTTTTATAGAAATAATTGAATTCTTGCGAAGAATTTTATTTACTATGAAAACAATCGAATTCCACTCAAGGATTTTGTTAAAATTTATGGAAATAATTAAATTCTTTCGAGGAATTCAATTAAAAATGCGTTAGAAATAATTGAAATCATATAAGAAATTTTATTAAAATTTTTGAAAATAATTGAATTCATTTGAAGAATTTCATTGAAAATTTTAAAAGTAATTGAATTCTTTTGAGAAGTTTTATTAAAAATTTCTAAAAATAATTCAATTCCTACGAATAATTTTATTATTTAAGAAAATAATTGAATTTTAGCGAAGAATTTTATTATTTATAAAAATAATTGATTTCCTGCGAAGAATTTAATTTTTTTATAGAAATAATTGCATTCTGGCGAAGAATTTTATTTATTATGAAAATAATTGAATTTCTCTCAAGAATTTTGTTAAAATGTATAGGAATAATTAAATTAAATTATGTGAATAATTGAATTCAAGGAATTCAATTATTTCTATAAAAAAAAATTGAATTCTTATAAGAAATTTAATTAAAATTTTTGAAAATAATTAAATTTATTTACAGAATTTTATTGAAAATTTTAAAATTAATTCAATTCCTACGAAGAATTTTATTATTGAAGAAAATAATTGAATTTTAAGGAAGAATTTCATTATTTAAGAAAATAATTGAATTTTAGGGAAGAATTTTATTTTTTATAAAAATAATTGATTTCCTGTGAAGAATTTTATTATTTAAGGTAATTTGAACTGAATTGAATTTTTGAGATGAATTTTATTATTTATTAAAAGAATTGAATTCTTCCGAAGAATGTTATTAATTTTTTTGAAAATAATTACATTCTTCGAGGAATTGAATTAAAATTGTATTGGAAATAAATGAATTATAAAAAATTTTATCAAAATTGTTGAAAATGAGGTATTTAATTCTTATCAGTGAATTTTATAATTTTTTAATTCGTAATTATTACAAAATTGAAGTTTTTATTTATTTACTATTTTTTTATTTATTTTTATTTTGAATAAAATTGTTTGTATTTTTGCAGCATTTTTCTATTTTTTATTTATTTTTTTATTTATTTTCTATTTTTCCACTTGAAAAAAAGAGAAAAAATGCAAATTTTAGAAAAGACTTGTAATCTCCTAATTATGATTTTAGAATCATTTTTCTTTTCTTTACTTGCGAATAAAAAAATAGAAAATCACAAATATTGGAAAATAATTATAATTAACTTTTATTAACTAGTTATGATTATTGTGATTAAAGAAGAAGAAAAAAATCGTATAAATTGTAATTTCTTGCTTTCTATTTCAGATTCGGACTATTGTTTACTGGTCAAAGAGATTCCACCCTACAACGAAGGTCATAGGTTACTGGATTTAATGGACATGTCTGTTCTGGATTTCCTCATGGGAAACATGGACCGGCATCACTACGAAACTTTCAAGTTGTTTGGAAACGACACGTTTCCATTGCACGTGGATCATGGTCGTGGCTTTGGCAAACCATTTCACGATGAAATCAGCTGTTTAACTCCTATACTGCAATGCTGTATGATCAAGAAAAGCACCCTCACGACTTTATTGAGGTTTGCAACTATTTCATTTTATTGTCAATATTTTACTATTACTTTTTACTTTACATTTACTTTATTTTTTGGAAAAAGGTTAATTTTTTTTCCCTAGTTTTCGAATTAGTTTTCTATTTTTTTTTTTACTGACAAAAGTAGAAAAAAAAGATCAAATATTTTTATTTATTTTTTTTCTGTTTTTAATTTACTTTCTTAATTTTTGTATTCTAAATTTTAATTATTTCTATTCTATCTATTAATTTGAATTGCACTTTTTTCGTATTAAAATTCCAATTTAAAAATAAAATTGCAATTTAAAAACATTTCACTTTGTTCATTGAAGTAAATTTTTCTTGAATTGGAAAATGAAAGCAGGGTAATTTTTATACCTCGTATGGGAGAGAATTTTCTCTAAAAAGCCACTTTCATAAAAATCAGTAGGACGTAAACCGAAGATCGTAAATGGCACGCGGCGCGCCAATGATAACCGAGAAAATTTTATAGTGCAAACACTGGAAAACTTGGGTTCATTTAATTCAAATTCGCCAAGTGCGAGAGACTTCTAAACATATAATACTCGGGCCTGGCAAAATTTATCTAACATAAAATTCATTTTATTAACAATTTTTTAATAATTTAATAATAAAATGAAAAGGAAAAGAAATTTATTTGATTCAAATAGCCGATCAAATAATTCTTAAAAGAGTCAATCAAATTATATTTGTAGCAATAATTTCAGTATTTGAAGCAAATATGAACTGAACCATTTAATCCATTTCATTGACTGAAATAAAAATTATTTGATTTAAGTAAATATTTAATTGATAATATTCAAGTAATCGGTTATTTGAATTAAATAATTTTTTTTTAGTGAAACAATTTCAACATTTTAAAAAATTGCAAAATGTTGAATTCAAATTTGAAAGTGTTTATTATTTATTCATTTTCGAGGAATTTTATTAAAATTGTTTACAATAATTGAATTCTTTAGCGAAACTTTATTATTTAAAAATAATTGAATTTCTAACAAGAATTTCAATTTTTTCGAAAATAATTTAAATCTCGCTTTGAATTTTACTAAAATGTTTAAAAATAATTGAAATGTTTGGAAAAAGTTTAATAAAATTTTTTTAAATAATTGAATTTGTGCAAAGAATTTAATTGAAATTTTAAAAAATAATCAAATTCTTTCAAGGAATTTTATTAAGATTTTTAAAAATAACTAAATTCTTTAGTGAAGAAACTTAATTAAAATTGTATTGACAATAATTTGAATTCATAACAAGATTTACAATTTATTTCAAAAATAATTGAAATCTTTGCGAAAAATTTTACTAAAATTACTAAGTTATTAATTAACTTTAATTATTATTCACTAATTAAGAGAAGTTAATTTTTATTCTCTTTTCATTTTTGTGTACAGTAGCTTTAAAAAATATTTAAACAAAAAAATTCTTTCATTTAAACGTTCAAAATTTTATTTTAATTCATTTTTTTGAAAATCTTGTCTTCTGAAGAAGAATTTTAGCATAAAATTTGAATTCCTTTAAAGAATTTTATCAAACTTTTTTACAACAATTGAATTCAGTCGAGAAATTTAATTCAAATTGTATTAAAAATAATTGAATTCTCACAAAGAATTTTGCTACTTATGAAAATATAATTCAATTTTTTTTGAAGAATTTCTTTTAATTTTTTGAAAAGAATAGTTTTTTAATAATTTTAATTGAAAAATTTAAAAGTAATTAAATTTTACTAAAAATTTCTTTCAACTTTTAAAAATAATTGTGCCTGTTATTAATAATTGTAATTAAAAATTTGATTATTGAATTTTATCAAAGGTTTTTGGAAATAATTGAATTTTTAGAGGAATTTTATTACATTATTTAAAAAAATTGAATTTTTTCGCGGAACTTTATTAAAATTGTATTAAAAATAATTGAATTTCTATCAAGAATTTCAATTCTTTAAATTCAATTCTTTAAATTTTATTAAAAATAATTGAATTTCTAACAAGAATTTCAATTTTTTCAAAACTAATTGAAATCTTGAAAAAAATTTTAGTAAAATTTTTGAAAATAATTGAATTTTACAAAGAATTTATTTCAATTTAAAAAAAAAATCGTGTCTCTTATTAAAAATTGTAATTAAAAATTTGATGATTGAATTTTATCAAAATTTTTTGGAAATAATTGAATTCTTTTTATAATTTTATTAAAATTTTCTAAAATAATTGAATTCTTTGAAGAAATTAAATAAAAGTTTTACTGAAAATAATTGAATTTCACCGTAGAATTTGATTATTTATGACAATATTTAAATAACAAGATTTTCAATTTTTTTCAAAAATAATTGAAATCTTGCAAACAATTTTACTAAAATTTTTGAAAATAATTGAAATCTTGCAAACAATTTTATTAAAATTTTTGAAAATAACTCAATTCTTTCAAAAAATTAAATGAAAATGTTATTGAAAATAATAATTGAATTTCTTTGAAAAATTTGGTTATATAAAAACATTTATAAAATGTTTATTATTTTATTTTATAAAACATTTTATCAAAACTTTTGAGTCAAACTTTTGATTAAAACAATTGAATTATTTAGAAAAATTTAATTAAATTTTTTGAAAATAATTAAATTCTTATAAGAAATTTTTCTAAAATTGTATTGAAAATAATTTATAATACAAATAAATGTAAATTATTTATAACTAAAACTAACGAGTGATAAAGTCAAAAAAAATTTCATTAATTATTTTCTAATTATCAATTAGTTTTAATTATGAAGAGGAAAAAAAACTAAATTTGAAGAATAGAAATAATACAACAATTTGATTTAAGTAAATATTTAATTGATAATATTCAAGTAATCGGTTATTTGAATCGAATAAATTTTTTTTTATGTGAAATATCGTAAAAAAAATTGCGAAATATTTAATTTAAATTTCAAGTGTTTATTATTTATTCATTTATTTGATTCTGTTTGCCGCATCTGTTCAAGAACTTCCTCATCTAAAGTCAAGTCAGCCAGTTAAAGAAACAGATTAAAGTAACCCACACGCTTCCTATTAACTGCAATATCATTAGATAATTGCTTCCTGCGGTTGGCTCGTTACGCTTTTACGTACTTCTTGGATCACGATTTTCCTTCTCCGTCACCTCACTCTTTCTCTCTCTCTCTCTCTTTTGTCTTTCCTTTATTCCTTTTCTTTATTCCTTATATTCTTTCGACAAAGCAATTTTTCCGCTGTATCTCTCATTCCCCTTTTTTTCACGCCTTTGTTCGGTTTTCAATTTTCACTCGTCTCATTATTTTTTACATATTTCAAAACTCAGTTTTCAACTCTCTTCTTATTATATAATTAAAGTTTTTATATTCACTGCATTCGGTTTTTTTTTCCTTTTCCCCTTGGAATATCTTCTAGGAATTTTATTAAAAGAAAAAAATTCCAAATCTTTATTAAATAATTTTTTATGTTATTTTCTTTTTCTAGAAAAAGAGAGAGAGAGAAGAATCTTCTATAAATATATTTTTCTTTTATTAAAGAATAAATTAAAGTTATGTGCAAAATTAGGAATTCAAATATACTATAAGTGAAGAAAGCTTGCCTGGTAAAAGGCGTGAACGTCTCTGGAATTCAAAGTGAGTCACTTAAAGTAAATTTAAGTGGACCTCTAAGTCTTTCTTTTTTCTCATCTGTTGAAAAACCGCGCACTTGCCCATTGGATTGTAAAAGTAGTCCCAAAAAGCTTTTCTGATGTTGCACACGAAAGAAGAAGAAGAAAAAGAAGGAGAAAAAAAAGAAAGTATAGTAGCCAGAGGATCCTCTCGAGGTACAAGCTTGAAATCTTCTGGCACTGAAACTGAGCGCGAATTCGAGAATATCTTTGCTTTCGTATCTACTTAACCCAATACTTTATTCATTGGCCTAGGACCGTAGGAAGCGCCAGAAGATCTTCCATTATTGGCTTCTTCCATTGACTCCAAGAAATCGAGCGTTGAATCCATTATTTTTCATTTCCTGCCAACAGAAGAATATATTAAATGGGATTTAAATGATTCAAGCACAAGTCAAGTTAAGAAGTACAGTTACTAACTGAAATTAAAAAGAGATTTCATAATTTTCATTTTTTCTCTCTCCTCTGACAGGAAATTCGGAAAATGGATTTTTTTCTCGTTTGACAATAAATTAAATTTTTGTCTTGGGAAAAATGAATGTTGTCTTCCTAACGTTTCGAACGTTCAAATGAAGGGAGACTTTTTTTACTTCTTGTAATTTATATTTTTTATTTAAAAAATTATTTTTTATATTAAAAATTATTTTTTATATTAAAAATTATTTTTTATATTAAACATTATTTTTTATAATAAAAATTATTTTTTATATTAAAAAATGTTTTTTATATTAAAAATTAATGCTTGACTAAGGGGCTGTCCATAAATTACGTAAGACATTTTTTTTTGAAAATTTGACCACCTCTCCCCCCTCGTAAGATATTTTACAAACATTAACGCCATTTTTTCTATTGTTCGTAAGATTTTGCTGACCCCCCCTCCCCCTTAAATATTAAATACTTAACTTTAAATAAGTCATTAATTAAGAGAAGTTAATTATTACTTTCTTTTCATTTTTGTATAGTAGCTTTAAAAAATATTTTAAATAAAAAATCCGTTATTGATTTTCTGCGAAGAATCGAAAAATTTTAATAAAATTTTGAAATGTAATTGAATTTCTGCGAAGAATTTTATTAAATTTTTTATAAATAATTGGAAAAAGTTTAATAAAATTGTTAAAAAGAATTGAAATCTTGCGAGAAACTTTACTAAATTTTTTGAAAATAATTGAATTTGACAAAGAATTTCTTTTTACTTTTTAGAAGAATCGTTTCTCTTACTAATTCTAATTAAAAATTTGATTATTAAATATTGTCACAATTTTTTGAAAATAATTAAATTCTTTCATAGAAATTAAATAAAAATTTTACTGAAAATAATAATTGAATTTTTTTGAAGAA